ACTCAGCTGAGTCCAGACTCCGCCTGTTCTGAGGGATCAGCAGGAAGTCTGGAGCAGCAGCATGACCCAGGTCAGAGTTTAACCCTAAACACTTTACAGGAAGCTCAAAACAGAGCCTCACTCCCCCAGGGGTGAGTTTCAAAATAAAAGCCCACAGAACAATATCAGATTAAAATCAATAAATCAATTAATATCAGGTTAAAATAGGAAAAGTTCCCACTTAGAGACACTAAATGACTGGAATCCTTAGATGCTAGCTTTTCAAAATAAAAGTCCCTCAGGTTAAGGAATGCTTTAGTGTCGGCTTTACATGATAAAATCCTTCACTTGGTTAAACCTAGTATCGAGGGGTTTTCACAATAAAGGAACCCACTGAAGTAAAGTGCCTCATCAGTTTAGAAGGATGCTTTAAAATGATTAGTTTTGTCATATTTTAAGAATAAAAGCATCCAATCTGTTACAGCAAGTTAACAGGACAATCAGACCTTTCAAAATAAGTGATAAGAGGCACACCTTCCTCTGTTTCCCATCACGAGTCATCACAAGCACCGCCCTTTCTGCTTCAGACACCGACTCCCTGAGTCAGGGCAGCTCAGTGGGCAGTTTGGGTTTGGAGGACGACGAGGACAGGAACTCTCTGAAGAACCACTTTGAGACGCTGGCCTCCAGTCTGAGCGAAGGTAAAGACCAACATCTTCATCATTGCCATCCTCTGACAGTTACTGAGCTGCTAACATGACCTTTGACCCTCCAGAGAAGTTTGACACAGACCTGAAGACTCTGCAGCCTCCAGATGAAAAGCACTTCCTGAACCCCCGACTCAGCATCTCCACCCGCTTCCTGTCCCGCTTCCAGGACAGAATCAGGTCAGCTTACCCACAATCCTCAGTGAAGGTGTGACCTTTGACCTGCAGGGTCACTGCAGGCCTGCGGGTGACACTCGCCTCCGTCACTTCTGACTCCGACGTGACTTTGTGTCCATCTCGTCTCTGCTGCTGTTTCAGGGCGAGCCGAGCTCCGCCTCCCGTCTCCATCCCGACTAGGATCTCTGAGGAGAGCAACATCAGCACCACATCGGTAAATGCACACAAGCCTGTAATGCAGGGGGCGTGTCCACATGAGGAGCGGCGCCTCCGCTCAGCGCTTCTCTTGGATTTCAAACGGAGGCAAACGCCTGATTCCAAATTTTCCTTTCAGTTACAAAACAAATTCATCTTTACAGCAGGCGACAAATAATGACAGTTAGTTTACATGCATGTGGGCGTTTCCAGAGCCCCGCCTCCAACTTCATGCTACAAGAATACAGCATGAGCTGTGGACACGACCTCTGACCTGTCGGGGCGCCTGAGAGCGGCCATGGCTGAGGTTTGTAACGTTGAAGAGGAAACTTGTTTTTCAGGTGAACTCGGAGTCGAGCAGCAACGTCTCATCGGCTGGGCTGACTCGGGGAGAGAACGGAGGAGGAACAGCGGGAGGAGCAGCAGCGGGAGGAGGAGGTGAGTTTCCTGTCAAAGCATGAGAAGCATCAGCTGTCACAGCAGCTCGGTCACATTCTGTGTTTCTGGCTCGATGACGCAAACGTTTGTCAGAGATGGCGACGGCACGCGCTCCTCGTTTTGCTCCCAAACAGCTGATTGGTCCTTGCAGTCGCCATGTTTCAGGAAGCAGCTTCAACTGACAGCTGTGAGTAATGACAGGGTTCACCATGGCGACGGCCAATTAAGGAGCAGTGGATGGAGAACTCGGGTCTGAATCCTTCATACAGTCGTTTTACTGAACCTGACAGGGTCTAACTAAACATGGACTCCTGACATTTCAGTGGAAAAATGGAAGAAATCAAAAACATAATTTCATCTTATTCTAATTAAACTTAAGATTTGACAAAATCCGCCTTTAAGACCAAATTTTCAGGTTGGATAACATAAAGTTACATTTCTTATTGGAACAAAGAGAACAGACAACAGCTGCCACATCTGCATAAAAGTTCAAAGATAAAAGGACAGAGAAGTGATGCTGGGATGAGGGAGAGACTGCCCTCTGGTGGTAATTTGGTGCAGTGCAGGTCATGACCTCAGTTCATCTACAGTTTAATAGAAAGAGGCGTGTTTTATTTTATTTCTAAAAGCAGTGTCGCCACCTTCTCGTACCGCCCGAAGCCGCTCTTAAGGCTCATGCTGCGGCGTCCTCAGACGAGGTTTAGAGTCTCAGCTCGTCCGACTTGGAGGTTTGTGAGTGAGCAGGATGTGAGCGTACATCAGATAATCTGACGCGTCCTCTTTTCTTTAGTGAGGAGGTCCTGCAGACACACAGGGCTGTGCAGTGAACAGTGTGAGAGGCAGGCAGAGGTTTATTACAGATGCAGTTTGGTCTCCAGTCTGAAAATGAAATGAGCCGGACGTGATGGTTTGAGTTTTGATGCTGCAAAGGTCTTTTTATTTTGTGTTTAATCTAAACTTGTTAAGTTCAGAATAACATTTTTAAAACCACAGGTTTTGTTTCCTAATATGAAAAATGTGATAAAAAGCAAAGTTGGCTGAAGATCACTGTCACCGCGCTGCGGTCCGATCTGGAGGTGAAGCTGAAATAATAATGGATGATGTTTCATCAGGTTAGTAATCAAGAGTAAAGCTGTAAGGATGTGATGGAGAGCTCGGCTGCAGCTGCGCCATGTTCAGTGTTTCAGGTGCGGTCACTGCAGTGCCGTGCCGGAGCGCCGTGTTTCTTTCTTCACTCATTTGTCTGATTAAAAACCCACTTGTGGTTGAGCAGAGGAAGCACACGCGCACACACTTCACACACTTCCTGTGCTGTAACAGTCAAAAACAGCTTAAGAGAAGCGACAGAGGCTCCAGGACGTCCCTCTGAGGGCAAAATCAAAACCATGTGTTTGTGTGCTCGCAGCCCTCCATAGAAGAGCTTCCTGCGCAATTTCCCATCAGCCCCATCGCCATGGCACACCCCGCAGAAGAAACACGCCGCTGGTCGTCCTGTGCAGAAAGACGTTAGGAGGTGTGTCTGCACGCCGCTGCGGGCACCGGGTGTTTGTGTGGCGTCTTCCCATTTTTTTTTATTTATTTATTTTTTTGGTGCAGCAAATCATGGTTGTGGTGGTGGGAATGTTTAGGGGTCAAAGGTCACAGACGGTGTGTTCACATGAGGTTGTATCTGAAGCCTGGCTGTAACTGTCCTCATCAGTGATCTTCACAGAATCGGGCGACTCTGCGAAACGATCTTCTCTGAACGGAGCTCAGGGACGCCACTTCCTGCTCTGATCGCAGCTCGCTTACATTCTGCTCTCTTCTAACCAATCAGACGTGACCTCCAGGACCATCACGGCCCAAAACAGCTGCAGCGAGGAGGCGGCGGAGCAGCCGTCGGCTTTTCGGCTCAGATACCTGGGAACCACAGCCAGCTCCAGAGCCAAACTGAGCCGGGACGCCCCGGGTTCCACCGCCACGCCCTCCTCCACGCCCACGCTGGAGGAGAACAAAGAGAACCTCCCCTCTCCAGCAGACTGCCAGCCTCCAGCCTCCACCCTGCTCTCTGCTAGACAGGACAAACCTGACAACCACCAGGACCAGACCAGCAGGTACCCCCCACGGGCCCCCACACACCAGCTGGGCTTTCCTGTCTTTACTGAACATTTTCCATCAGTCCTGGTTTAAGGTGACTCATTTCTCACACATGTGAAGCAGAGGCGAGGACCCACAGGACACGAGCTCTACAATCGTTCATTTCACAGTTATTACCACATGAATGAAGACTTATAGAAGTCTTAGAACTCTCAGCTAGTCCTTTATTGTTGTTGTGCAATGAAACACGTGTCAGATGTATTCACACATAGGAGAAAGATGATGAGGGTCACACAAACCACGGCTCAGGTGGGTGTGGGGGGAAGCAGCTGTTAGTGAGGCTGCTGGTGTGGGACCTGACCGACCTGAGGCACTGATCAGAGGGGGGTGAGATGCTCTCACTGAACGTCGTGAGAGCATCTGTTTGCTCTTTGCTCGTTTTTTATTGGTTTCTTTATGATAAAAATGTGAATTATCGACCTCGACAAACCCTCTGTCAGCCTGCAGGTGTGGACCACACCCACTCAGGTGATCTCACAGCTCATAGCTGACAGGTGTAGTGTCAGCAGCACAGAGGAGACTCTAATCCAGACGCCTGTGGCAACACCCACCACCTGTGAGGTCATCACCTGCCCCGCCTCCATGAAGGAAGAAGCTCGAAGACCAGCTGATCCAGGTAACACACACACACACACACACACACACACACACACACACACACACACACACTCTGTTAGCTGCACCTCAAACAGATGCAGACAT